AACCACATACAACCCACACGAACCTGAGATGTTCTGCTTTCACTCTGTTTATCAAGAGCAAACACGTATCGAAAAAATATCATATTTTACCGGGATTGCAAATGGCAACCTTAGTACCTTAGTAATCTAACTTTGATGAACTAATCTAACTTTGCTTGCACTAAAGACTGTTTATACACTTAAACTAGAATTTACTCAACTATTTTGTGGCTAATCATAATTCCTATTGAAAGATTAACAAATATAAGAAGAGATTAAAAATAAATAATAAAACTGAACAAATGTTTCAATTAATTCCTCTTTTTTGGAAAATGCATAGCCACCACAATTTCCAAAACTGGAGCATGTACTCTTATAGTTATACACTGTAACATAAAAGTTTCAACTATAGAAAGTTAAAATTATACCATAAACAAAACGTTACCAAGAAAAAAACATAAGTACCGCAAAAAGATTTGCCACCGTTACGATCTTGACCGTTGATTTCACGGAAGACGATGACTGATCCGTCTGATGAGGAGGTTTTCTGTAGTAGAACGGGAAATAAGGCAAGATAGGGTCCGGCGGTGGAGGACCGTTATATCCCCCGCCGGGACTACCTCCGTAATAAGGTGGAGAAGGGTAATTTGGTACATTACTCGACGATGGGGGAGGATAGTAACCGGTCGGTTGAGGATAATAACCGGCCGGTTGAGTGGAGCCAGTACCGGCTATTGGTGGAGGGTAACAAGGGTACGGACATGGCGTCTGTGATATGGTTATGAAGGGGAAGTTGACAAGATAAAACACGAACAATAGACTTTTGAGGTGACCGTAACGTTTACTCATGGCCAAATCTTTTATGAAAGATTTGTTTAATGGTAAAGAAGAAAGTATATGTTTGTGTAAGAGAAAGAGGAAGTTTTTAGAGACTTTCTTTCTTCTTGAGTCTGAGTGAAATCGTAAAGTGAGTGGTTATTAATATAAATTGTTTTATATGAGTTAAGACAAACGACTAGTGATGAGAATTTTGAATAGTGGCGACTAACAAAGGTCAATGAGATTGAACGTGTCTTGTGGCTACGATACACTTGTTGTCTTGTAAATTATGATACTTGGCTGTATAGTTTTGTCCTTGTTTAAGCAAATTGGGCCACTGCTTGATATAATGGAAATTTCAGGTTTGGGTCCGAAACCAGAATTACTCAACCATTGAATTATCTAAATATCTATGTTTGTAAAATGTAAAATTGCACTACTTGGTTTAGTGATATAAAATTCAAGGTTCTCGAGTTATTGTTAGAGGTAGCTAGCTTCTTACTCGAACCAGATACTAAAATTTTTATTTTTCACCAAAAATAGTCTACAATTTACCACGATGAACCTCTAGTTATATATTTCATGGTACAGTTTGGTAAGTAGCCAATCGTTGTCTCGTTCTCCACCCATATGTATACTTAAGAGAGAAAAAGAGAACAATCATTAAATTACTTAAATGTTTAACAAAAATAATAGAGAAATTTCTTTATAATAAAATTGGCAATGTACGTATTGATTTTTGACGACATTTGATAATGTTTGGTAGCTGATAATGTTCAGTATAAGTCCAGTTTAGAGAATTTAAAGGCACATGTTTCTTTGAAAGGCTAGAAATAGAGGGATCTTAAAGGATTGAGTTTATCAAATGCGAGTTTTAAAGTACTCTTTTTTACAGTGTGTAGTCGTTTTGTTTTATATATTGTCTTAGTCGTTATATAATACTATATTTTTAGTACTAAAACTTAAAGATATCCACTGAAAATTGATTTATGGGTTTAATAACAAAATAATGACTACTAAGCTACTAACAAAATAATGACTACTAAGCTACTATCATGTGAGAAATATTTGATATTCTATCAACACACTTTATGGCTATCTTTTTATATTGACGTCCACTAATTGTCTTGGAGAGTTACCAAATGCTTTATTCTTTTTGTTATGGCTCCATTATGAAAAAACTATAAAAACTAACTAAAAACCACAGAAATATTTAATTTTTCCCACGGCGTGAAAAAAAAAAAAGCCACATCATATATCTAACTTGATATAAAAGATATAAAAATCCTAAAAACTACAAGATATAAAAGAACAATTAGCGATGTAAATAAAAAAACTAGCAGACGTCGAAATAATAAAAAAGAGAGGGACAAAAAGCATAACTACAAAATTTAAATAAAGAACAATTAATTAGTGTTGTAGTTAAGAGAATCAAATTATACATGTCACGTCAAGGTCGGTTCTTTGTGCCTTTGTTTTGGTGGAAGGTAGTTTTCTCACTCTCATATGTCTAACTTGAACCTCTTATTTCTATTACCAAGCTTTTAGTTTAGTATTTTGACGTTGACCCAAGAAAACATGGTTTTGACTTTTCTTGAATCTTTATCAATGTAATAATCTTTTTACAGCTTCTTCATCTGAAATTCCCTACCTAATTAACTTTACTTTGCTCCTAGCCAGAATTTTATATAAATGTCTCTTTTGAATTCTTGCACTTATAACTTTTATTTAAAGAATATGGTTTTAAAAAAAATCATGGCCACTCGAGAATCAACCGAAATCAAGTGATCCTAACCAAAGAGAAAATGCACAATCGACAATTTATCGGATAATCATTAATTAAGAGTTATCTGAACAACATATACCCATCCGTCAAAAGTAAACGAATCTATGAAACGATAAACAACGAGTCAACGAAACAACATCAGTTCATGATCATCAAGAAACTCATAACTCCAAACGCGATCAGGCCTAAGATCTTCACCACCGTAAACCTTTTTGCAGCAGCCGCTCCAAACTGCTGATCAATGGGATACAACTCTCCTGGTGGACCAGTCATGTATATGTAAGTGGACGGAGGTGGTGGACAATAAGACTTCTTTGGCGGTGAAGGAGGCAGTGGTGGTGGAGGACAAGCTGGAGACGGCGGTGGAGGTGATGGCGGTGGAGGAGGAATGTTTTGGAGACAAGGTGTGCATTTTATTGGATCCTCTTCGAGTTTTCTATTGGTTGATGAATCTGAAGCGTTGATGATCATTGGAAACGCGAGAAACGCCATCGCCGTGAGGATAGTGGCCGTGAGAGCCTTTGTATGGCGAGTTTTCTCCGGCATGGTGAGAGTTGTTATATGTTTTTTTTGGTCTCGGAGAATCGAAATAAAGAGAGGTTTGGGAAGATTCTCTTGTTAGAAATGAAAAAGAGTTGAAAATTTGGTGAGGTGGTTTGGTAAGAGGGTGCATGGGACTGATATACTTCTTCAAGACTATATATTTCTGTCTACTTGTTTCTTTTTTTAAAATTCTTTTAATAGGATTTCAAAAATACTTTACAACATGCAAGAATAAAGAAAGAAGAAGAAGAATACATTCTAATATTCTATAGTGAAGTTGGCTTTTACATGTGAGTTGGAGCTTGAATTAAGGGGTCCCACATGGACCATATAACATATAATCGTGTTACTTGAAATATAATTAAATGTAACAATGGTGGAATTATTAGCCTTTAATCCACCGTCGTCCACCCAAAAATAAAATATACAGATGGTTTATACACTTAAAAGACTTCCAAATAATTGTTACCAATAATAAGAACGTTTGATGACACAATGATTGATTGTAATCTGATTTGAAAATTAAAAGCGTATATGTATATGATTGTGTAGTGTGTAAACATCTTTGCTAAAGCGTGAATTGGTCGCTTTTTCTATCATATGATAACTCTTAATTGCATTGTACTAGATGAGAAAGAAAAAAAGCGTTATGATTTGGTAATAGTTTTTTTTTGTTTTGTTAAAAAGATTTGGTAATAGTTGATAATTAATAATTTGGGAAAGACTATACAACACCGTCTCTATACTGTTTTCCATGACTTGGTTCTTTTGGTAGTCATTGCACATGCAGTGAGAATAAATGAATTGAGTTGACTAATAATTAAAATAAATTTTGTCGTAGAATGCTTACGGCCACCGACTACGCTACGCAATTTGGTCCCAAGTTTTTTTACCGATATAAATTCCAATAATTACACGAATTGTAATGCTCTTATTTTCTGTTAAGAAAATGATAAAGTTGGTGCCTTGGTGGTGGAATCTGGACTCTAGCCCATATCAAAATTGGTTCGGAATAAAGACTTGAGCCCATTATCGAAATTAGTACCTCAAATTGACCTGAAACCGATGATTTGGGCCATATATGTGCCATTGTTTCTTCCCTTTTTTTTGTTAAAAGATTGTCCAAATGCCATTGTTTTGGTATATGAAAAAAGGTTGTTACAGTACAGAAGCATTAGAAAAAAGCAATTACAGATCTATGCTTCGTAACGAACATTGTTCCGCTAGCAAAATTCCCCATGCTACTTTATCCAAAACAACAAAACGTGAAAACCCTAAAGCAGACTCTATTTCTTGTATCAGAAGTCACAGAAGTGTTGAGACTTGAAAGCCAGAGTTGTCCATCTGCTGAAAAAACCCGAGACAGTGATTCTTCACTAGCCATGGGTCCGAGTCTCCTAGAGATGCTAATCAAAAATATGCAAGATTCAGATATCAGATTCTGTTCAGTAGCTGCTCTGCGGATAGAACTCAAAGCTTGAAAGCGGTAGAGACATCTGTGAATGCCAATCAGCCGGTTGGTTCAAGTCGAAATTCATTCCCATTGACTGGTTCTGGAACAATGGTTCTGATTGGAACTCATAGACCATGTCATCGACCATTGTCTGCAACTCCTCCAAGCTATATTGCTTTTCCTGCACGCCAACCGTTAACGTGTGAGAGAAGAAATAAAACAATATCGGTGAATTTAGGTGCAGAAATGAGCTTTACCTCTCTTCTAGTCTGAGCCATAAGTGACACCATCTCTTGAACAAAATCAAAGTATCCCTGTTTGTAATAAACAAAACAGAGACACATCAGCTTTTTGTAATGAACAAAACGAATTCTAAATCTCTTACAAAAATCAGAATTTGAAGTAACCATATACCTCATCTTCACCAGAATCATACAGTCCAACGTCGTACAAGCTTCGTTTCCTCTCATCCGACAAAACTAAACATAAGAAAATTGTTTCCAGACAACAATGTCAGTCATCGGACAACAACCAAAAACTTCAAAACAGAGTCTAAAGACTCTGAACAGATATTTACCTGAATAAGCTTCTTGAATTTGCTGAAATCTTCCTTTAGCTTCACCAGATCTAAAAGGATCTTTCGTCCACCGGTCAGGATGCCATCTCATAGCAAGCTTGTGATATGCACGTCGTATCTGCTCCGCCGAAGAATCAACGGCAACACCGAGAATCTCGTAATACGTTTGCTTAATGCCACCTTCCATTTGTTTATATGTACTACGCTTAAAGTATTACACTTTACGAAGAGATGATTAGTTGTTTGAGGTTTATATAAAATAGGAGTTGTGTTCCAATGGCGGTTTAGATTCTTACATAAGAAGTTCTAGAAGATGTCGGGTTTCCAAAAATATCTTATGTCAAGATTCAAGAACGTTCGGGAACATGCTAAGAAAGCAGATATTATCCGCACAATCTTTAGATATTTTTACATTGGACGGCTGCGATTGAATGGACGGTCACGTCATAATCGTTACATGACACGTGGTTTTAAATATCTTAATCGGAAACTGTGAGATTGTTATGGTTTCTTGATTTTATTTTACTTCTGGTGTTGAGGCAGACAAGTAATCTTCGGCGCACAAAAAACCTTATTTTTTCTTTCTTAGTTAATTCACATTTAAATCTATCTTTTCGCTGTTTTATTATACATACAAAACACATTTCTACCATTAACATAAAAACATGTTTAAACTATTAATTAAAATTATGATTGTTAATATTGTTTTGTTTATAGTGTTAATTACGAATTTTCCAAAAAAACTAACGTTAATTACGAAATTTTATTCTCAAAAATACTCTAGCAGTTTAATGAAAAAGTGGCATCTAATTACATTAAATATTAACTATTCAGCTACCGTTATTCTTTATCAAAATAAAAAAACTACACAGTTATATAATTAAAATATTTACTTAATTAAGATGATATCTAGTGGCGTAAAAATATGTGAGAATGAATTAGATTGGACATACAAAATAAATCAGTAAAAATGAATTGGACCCTTATTTTTTCAGTTTGACTCTTTATTTTAGTCTCTTTGCATTTCATTCAAAAATAAAATAAATTGAAATGAAAAATATTGCTATAATATTAAGATCAAATGAAAATTTACTGTAATATTTCGCCATTTAGTAGCACCTAAAAACATGTCTATTTCTTCTATTAATGTTTTTTATATAATCAAATAAAAACTAATGTACCCAAAGTATTTTGACCAAAAAAAAAATGTAGGTAAAATAGTTGGGCTAATGGGCCTTAACAGACGTAGCCTACCTAACTTCATCAAAGAAGACCATTTGAGAAGTGTTGTTGTTGTTAGTTGAATTGAAACTGACGTCAAAACACATTGGTAGCTGCAATCTTTCTTCTTTTTTTTTTTTTTTTTTTTTTGCATTTTTTTTGTAACTGCAATCTTTTGTAAACCAGTTCTTCTTTTTTGCTCTTTTACTTCTCTTTCCTTTTTGTAGTATCGATCACCTTATATGCAAGCGTTAGAATCATGTTTCCAGAGTTATGAAAAACGCACTACCATTTTAATTAAGCACGAAACATCCAGTGGCGGAGGGCCATTGTCTTGACAGGGGTCAATTTTTATTCTAAAACTAAAAATCTGTTTTGAACAATATTTTATGGAGGTCAATAAGCATATTTTAAACCATTTTTATGAATTTTGCTTACAAAATTACAAATAAATAAAAAATTTGTACAAATCCATAGGGGTCAATTGACCCTCATAAAGACCATATACCTCCGCCCCGACGAAACATCCAGTGGCGGAGGCAGCCATTGTCTTGACAGAGGTCAATTTTTATTCTAAAACTAAAAATCTGTTTTGAACAATATTTTATGGAGGCCAATAAACATATTTTAAACCATTTTTATGAATTTTGCTTACAAAATTACAAATAAATAAAACATTTGTACAAATCCATTGGGGTCAATTGACCCCCATAAAGACCATATACCTTCGCCCCTGGAAACATCATCGATTCAAGTTTTCAGGAAAATAGTTTTATCGATCACGGGTCTAAGTGATATCTATATAAATAGAATAGTGAAATAGCCGAATAGGCAAATGTTTGAATAACATAGACATTTAGGTTTACAGAATTACTGCAAAATAATTATATATAAAAAAGCACACACCAAAAACTGAATTTAGTGTATTATTGTCCTTTTAACACATCTATATTGTATAACGGAATCATACTCCAAAAACATAAAAATGTGAATTTTAATTTTGACGAATGTTAGATAAATAGGAATAACGTCTAAAGGAAAAAATAGAAAATCGTTAAGACTTGTAGCTTTTTAAGGTAGGACTTCGTTTGGAACTCCATAATGTAAGGTTTTATGAATTTCAATGTCACACATCACTGACATGTCTTCATTTCATATTTTCCATTAAAAAGGAAACCATGGTAAATTTCTTTTCAGCTTCACTACATATTACAAGTATTTACTATATTTAATACCTGAAAAAGATACTTCACTATATTTATTACTTGAATAAGATAGTTCACTCTCTTATACAAGTCATAAATATAAACCAGTTAAAACAATGTCTTCATTTTCATACATTGCAACAGTATTCACTTCTATTGTTTTTGTAGTTCAATGACTCAGTCATTAACCTATCATACCATTCACAAATCACAAGTTTTATGTTAAGCGAAACCTTTTTTACCCAATGAAACCTCTTCGGTATTAACATTTTTTTTACTGTCCAAGACTACAAGAGTTTGTCATATGGATGAGACGCATGTGAAATACTGAAATGGGAAACATGGTTTCAGCTTTCTTGGCTTATGCACGTATTTGGAGATACCTTAAGATGTTGTTCCATCTCGATCGGTAATGTTTATTTTTTGCTATTCAACGATTATTGTCTATTTTTATGTTATTTTTTTAAGTCACTAGCTATTAACTACTTGTCTACTTCTGCATCGGATTCATGACAAAAGAGAAAGATGTAGTAGTTAGAATTGATAAAAGAAAAAGTCTAATATATCGGAAACATTAATAAAATTGTATTGGAGAATTTACAATAATACTCAGTTTTATTATTAGATAACGCAACTATAATGCCATCATTTTTTTTGTTGGTTTTGACATCGTTTTAGTATTGAATTTATTCAAGAATTCAAGATATATTTACCGGATTAGTTCAAATATTGTATAAGTACTTCACGTATATCGCAGTTTTGTTAAATCATTTATGTGTATGCATGCATACAATCTTACAATGGAC